ATTCTTGACACAGTTCAAGAATTAAGAGTCACATAACTATTTTTGGTCATTTCCATTGGTGTCCTTCATAATGTATTTACTTTAGAATATTTATTATCTTGGGGCCTCAGCCAAAGCTAAGATTAAATAGTTATTTTTCATATCTTGGTGTGTGTATGTGAGTGTGTATGTGTACTGTGTGTGCCTCATGATACTTCAAATTGATAGCAGCAGTAACTCTCAGGCAGAGGGAATGAGTGGAGTAGTGAATGGTCAAGAGTGACATTAGCTTTATCTGTATTGTTTGAATTTTTATAGTGACAGTATATTCATGTATTTCTTGTGTTATTAAATGTAAATGAAATTTAATATACTCTAGCCTGTGCTGGTTGTGTTTCTGCAACTTAATTTCCATCTGCCAATGAAATAAATCTGAAACCTTTCATTTGGGTTAATGGTCCAACTTAATGTGTTGGTCAATTGGAAAAAAAGCAAATTGCAAGGAGCTTTTCAGGGCTCTGTGCTTTGGATTGCTCTTAAGATCACAGAGTTTTCTTCTGATATTTACTTTTCCCAGATATATACTCAGTGTGTAATGGATATTTGTCCTGGTCCTTGGCTGACCTAAAGGAGTAAATGGTAAGGCCAGCAACTTCCTGTCTTGCAAACATGAGAGAATACATAGCTACCTGGTCCATTTCCAGCTGGAATCAAAGTCCAGTAGGTAGAATGTTTATTTGAACAGCGAAATTGAAATGGGCTTCTGTTTGGCTTCCCAAAATAAGCTGAATAACCACTTTTGTGATCTGCAGACAGCATCCTGGGAATATTTTGGCAAAGGGGCAGTTGTGAAATGAATGAGGTGATAAGTGCAAAATGGATACTGTGACTTTGGCTGGAAGGACACGAGGCATGGCACTAAAGGCACAGGTACCAATCTGCCAGACAACTTTCCTCTGTACAGTCTTCCAGACTGCAATAACAATATCTTAGTGATTCCTGGTTTGTGTTTTATAAACATTTCAAAGTGCTTCCACACCTTCACTGGCCCATTTTACACCTATTGAGTGCCCACAATTGTTGGTTGCAGGGCTGGGAGTAGACAGAACTATTTTCTTTCATTTCATAGTCTAATTTGGGGAGGTAGACACTTCAGCTAGTGTTATAGCCTTCTGGAAAGGGCTTTGAGAGAAGGAAATCCAAGAGCTAGGGGAAAACAAAGGCAGGCATTAGAGGGAGGTGGGACAAGCTGGGCTGCTTTGAGAAAAGAGAGTGGCACGTGCTGAGGCACTGAGGTCTGGAATTGCACTGTGGGTTTTGAGAAATGTAGGTAATGAGGCCTGGACATGAGCACAGTGAAACTTGAGCCACACAGAGTCTTGTGTGATCATTCATGGAGACTGAACCTGATGTGAAGGCAAGAACATTTGATGGAGTTTAAGCAAGGGAGGTACTGGGACATATTTGCACTCCAGGGTGAAGAATCAACAGAAAGGAGGCACCACTGGAGGTTGGAAGGCCAATTAGGGAGCTCTCCCAGCAATCCGCACCAATGAGGCTGCTCTAAGGCAGAGGTACCTGGAAACGGGGGAAGGGAATAGAATCGAGGGAAATGAAGGAGCTTCTATTGGTGACTTCTTGGATGTTGGAGAGGTGTGGAGAAGTGTGTCTGGGTCCCTGTACTCGTATAGGCACCATTCACAAGGTGAGACCAAAAGGAGGATTGGGGTCAGGGGAGAGTTGAAAAGTATGCTTTTATAATATATCTTCTCCCACACTTTCTACCCAAATTCCAGTGAACTGGGTATAATTGGAGGATGAAGTTTCTCTTCTGGCAAGGAATTTTAGACACTCAGTAAATGAACTTATCCAAGGCCTCCACCTGGTTATACCAAATATGGAAATACAATGGAGTTTCTTTTTTTTTGGTTTTTTTGTTTTGTTTTGTTTGTTTGTTTGTTTAGTGGGGAATAAAATGGAGTTTATAGTTTAATGCATTGGCAGCATTCATTTAGCATTCCCTGAACCTCTAATGTGTTCTTGGGATAGAGGAAAGGAGTGAAATATAAGATATTCACTCATCTGAAAATTATAGATCAGTGATCAGTGAGAAAACAGTAACCCAGACTTTATCAGAGCAAACAACGTGCCTAATCAGAGTTGGACAAACATAAGCCAGATGGAAAATGCAGTATGATGACCAAGATGGTCTCTTTCAGGTACAAAAGTACCATGTATGTGGGGGCAGGGGCCAGAGGAACATGGTGTGAAAAATAAGAGGAGACCAACCTAGGAGAAAATACAGGATGAAGGAAAATTATTAGCAATCATTTTATGCTACAGAACAGTTTAGTAAGAATGAAAATTCAGGTTAGCTTAAGATAAAATGATCAAAGGCAGTTGAATAGAACATTCAGATGGTAGGATATAAGTGAAAGCACACAGTTGTTACTGAACTCACACATAAATTTGGTTAAAAATATAAAATGATAGCTACAGACTGGGAGAAAATATTTGCAGATCATTTCTGCAGTAAGGAACTTATATCCAGAATACATAAAGAATACTCAAAATTGAATAAGAAAACAAGAAATCCAATTGTAAAACAGGCAAATGATTTACCAAAGTGAAATGAAAACTGTGTTCACACAAAAACTTATAGCCAAAATGTTTATAGAAGTTTATATGTTGCAAATGTTTGCAATCAACCCAAACTGGAAGTAACTCAAATGCTCCTCAAGAGGGGAATGGATAAACACACTGTGGTACATCCATAAAATGTAATAGTATTGAGCAATAAAAAGAGCAAGCTACTGGTGCCAGCAACAACATGGATGGATATCAAGTGTATTACACTAAATGAAAGAAGCCAAAGTCTGCACAATATATGATCACATTTATGTAAAATTTTGGTAAATGCAAAATGATACAGACGAAAAACAGATTGGTGGTTTCCAGGGCCCGTGGGTGAGGGACAATCTACCCACAAAAGGGAGTGAACAAATATTTTGAAGATGGATCATTGTTCCATACATTGATTGTGGTCATGGTTACATGACTATTTATCAACATGAAGAACTGAGCAGCATTAAGAAAGTGAATTTTTGGCATGTAAATAGCATCTTAATAAGAAAATGAAAAGAAATTTTAAAATAAATAAATTAGAAACACCAAAGAACAGGGAAAAGTCTAAAAAAATCAAATTAATGATGTGAAGAAAAGGCCTAATATAATCACTGGGCATTGTAAATGATAAAGGCAAAAATATTAAAATAGGAGAGAAACTAATATGTTTGTGCACCATTCAACATAAGGTAAAGTGATGTTTCTAAACAAAACAAAAAACCTTACAAATGGAAAAATGTGTTTGATATTTAAAATTTTCTCAAAGAACAAATAACCATACCACATTAAAAAAAAATGTTCCAGAATTCTTAACACTGAGACACATACTACTTAAGCTACTGTGTTTTATAAATAGTTTTTTTTTTTTTTTCCCCATGAATCCAGTCAGAAAAGTAAAGTTTCTACTGCAACGAAAAAAATTCAACTGGCCTCAGACTTTTCTACACTGATTGCCTGTACAAAAAAAAAAAAAAAAGTCTTAAGGTGAAATGAATCACTATGAATAACTATGGTTATTCATAGCCAAGGTGGCATCAAAATTTAAAGATAATAAGGAAACATTGTCAAATATGAAAGAACTCAAGTGAATATCTTTGAACCACTTTGGAAATTAAAAAACAAACAAGGCAGGGCGCGGTGGCTTATGCCTGTAATCCCAGCACTTTGGGAGGCTGAGGTGGGTGGATAGCTTGAGCCCAGGAGTTCGAGACCAGCCTGGGCAATATGATAAAACCCCATTTCTACAAAAAATACAAAAATTAGCTGGGCATGGTGGTGCATGCCTGTAGTCCCAGCTAGTCAAGAGGCTGAGGTGGAAGGATTGCTTGAACTTGGGAGGCAGAGGTTGCAGTGAGCCAAGATCTGCACTCCAGCCTGGGCGACAGAGAAAGACTCTGTCTCAATAAATAAATAAACACATTTTGAAAATAAATAAATAAAAATGTAAAACCAAACAAACAACAAATACCTCTATGTAAGTCTCATCTAACCAAAGGATTTTGAAAAAATAAAGTAAGCAGGAGAAAACGTATTAAATGGCTTTGCAGTGAGGATTGAATTCATTTAAGTATAAAAACTTGTTATTAATAATTATAAGAATTATGGGTACAGATCGTCTTGCAGACATGATGTGCCTGAAAATCATTTTAAAATGTTGTAAAATAACAATTGGATCTTGGCAGAATTGCTAATAGCCCATGTCTAAAACTGATGCATAAAGATTTGTTTAAAATGGATCTGTTACTTTGTTTTCCTTAATCTTCATTTTTCACTTTAGAAAGATCTTTTAGGAAAGAACACTTGTGTGGTAAAGAGACATTTATTTCAAAGTGAAGTGTCTCTTTAATTAGTCCTTTCATTTTCAATTTCAATTCAAATTCTGCTAAAATTAAAAACAATAATTTTCATAAAAATAGTATCTATAGAATGGTCTAATATTTATAATAGTTTTTCTGACTAGCTTTCTTTCCTTTTAGCTCTGTTTATGCACAGAAATATACCTTTAGTAACAATAATATTAAATAGTAATATTATTTACCATTTATGTCAGGTATATTCTACGTGTTTTACATGGATTAGCTCATGACAGTACTCCTGTGGGTTAAGTACTATCATCATCATCATCTTCATTTAGAGGTGAGGAAACTGAGGCACCATTGTGTCCTGCCAGGACACACGTGACTGGACCAGGAAGGACCCAGAAGCAGCCAGGCTGGCCTCTGCCTGGTTCCTGCTCTTTGCTGACATGTTCAGTGGCCTCCTAAGGATTCATGGTGGCTGATTCTAATAGAAGGAATATCTTTTCACTTTTATCTGTGTACATTTTTTTCCATAATTGTCCTAATTCTTTTAGCTATGTGTATTTGTTTAAGTAAGAAAGCATAATTTAAAAAAAAATGTGCAAAGAGTTAGAAGTAGTTTAAAATAGGCTAAGATATAAGTGGGATGTGGAAAATGTAGATGGTTGCTTCTTTGAATTTGTATCTCAAATTTTTACATTTTAAAATATTGAAGAAAAAAATGAGTGATCTGATTCAAAGTGAGATTGACTCCCTTTTAGGCAGACAAGCGAAGCAGCCATTTCTCTTTGGGTTTAATTTACGTTTTTATTTTTATATTGGTAGTACTTGGTCCTTTGCCTGTTAATTTCTCCAAAGTTCATTGGTTAGGAATACATGCATTCCTTCTTCTTCTCAAAGTGCTTTGGTATCCACCAAGAAGAGGAGTGCTGTTTTTAAAGGGAGTGGAGTATAGATAATGACAGTGACATAAAATGGGAAGAAAAAGATGCCTATGGGAAAAAAACATGTTATTTTATTTATTTATTTTTTTATTATACTTTAAGTTCTGGGGTACATGTGCAGATCATGCAGATTTGTTACATAGGTATACACGTGCCATGGTAGCAGTTTGCTGCATCCATTGCCCTGTCGTCTACATTAGGTATTTCTCCTAATGTTATCCCTCCCCAATCCCCCACCCCTTGCTGTATCTTCCCTAGCCCCCCATTCCCCAGGCCCCAGTGTGTGATGTTCCCCTCCCTGTGTCTCATTGTTCAACACCCACTTATGAATGAGAACATGTGGTATTTGGTTTTCTGTTCTTATGTCAGTTTGCTGAGAATGATGGTTTCCAGTTTTATCCATGTTTGTGAACATGTTATTTCTAAATAATTGTTCTTGGAAGAACCAATGTCAGGTCTTTATAAACTTCATTATAGTAATGTATACAAGCCTCTGCCACCAACTCTCTTTGTTCATCTCTACTAAGCCTACGGAGAAAACTTGTAAGGTAGTTATCTTACATATTTATATGAATAACTTATTCATATAAATAAATATTTTATCATCATACACAAATGACTGGATGGATTCTCAGTAAATCTGGGGAGTATTAGAGGCGTAGACGTACTTAACAATATTTAGGCTACCTAGTGAGCCAGAAATTATATCAGGAGACATGGGAGTCATTTCAGAGCAGCTGAGACTGAAGGAAAGAATTTATTAAATTCAGAAATTGAGTTTTGAGACCATCTAACTATAATTATAGCCTTTGGAACATAATCCCCAAATTTTTTTAGGTTTTTTTGAAGAATCCCCTTAAAAGGACAGGCAGTCATCCTCCATTGACACTAAAACATGGCTAGAGGCTAGTGTGACCCCTAAACTGGGCCAAGAGAGAGGAAAAGCCCAGTGGTTTCATACTCACACTGGGATTGGAAGTCACACAGGGCCAAACCCCAAGGACAGCAAACACTGTGACCCAGCTGCATGGAGGCAGGATGATTCATCCATGTGATTCACCTTAACCATGATGTGCCTGGGTGCTCTGTAAAGGCCAGCTGAAAACAGTGATAGATGCAGGTAACATATTCGGGGGCCAATATGGGGGTGCCCCCTCTGCCAAGCATGCATGAACCACTCCAATCCGAACAATCAATGAGGGAAATTTAATTATCCGATGATGTCAATGAGTAAATAAAGGCTTGAAACGATGAAGAATGTTTCTCACGGTGACACCGGGGAATGGCAGATGTAGCAGATAAACCAGGGCTGCTTGAGAGCGTGACTGCAGGGTTTTGAATCCCTACTCCACCACTGACTAAGGTGTAGGCTTAGCATGTTTCTCACCTTTTCTGTAGCTCAGTTTCCTAGTCTATAAAGTGTAGAAAATAATAGTATAATTGTTGCCAGGCTGTGATGAGGGTCAAACAAGCTAATAAATATAGACCTCTGGGTGGTGCTTGATCTGTGTAGGAGCCCAGAAAACAGGTGCAATTATTCTCATGGTTATGGTGTCTCATGGAACCATGTATGCTCAGCTTCTTTCATGCTCCACACAGCCATGAGAAGATACTGGATGCCCCCCAGAAAAGCAATGTGATTGACTTTTCAAACTCTATACTGATTTTTAAAACTGCAAGGCCTTGAATTAAAGATTCCATGACCAGAAAATGCCTGGCACTTCCGTACAAGCCTCTAATACCGTCACCCAAACCATGGACTGTGAAGCTTGGCTAGGGGTGGGGCTGGCAAGCAGGAAATGGCAACTTGCCAGGATGACATGAGGCTCCCTGAAGGATTCTAAGCAGTGGTATTCTTGATGACTGTATTAGTCAGCTCTCGTGCTGCTAATAAAGACATACTGGAGACTGCGTAATTTATAAAGGAAATAGGTTTAATGGACTCACAGTTCCACATGCCTGGGGAGGCCTCACAATCCTGGCAGATGGCAAAGGAGAAGCAAAGGCATGTCTTACATGGTGGCAAGCAAGAAGTGCATGTGCAGGGGAACTCCCCTTTATGAAACCATCAGATCTCATGACTTATTCACTATCAGGAGAACAGCACAGGAAAGACCCACCCCCATGATTCAATTACCTCCCACCAATCACTCTGACAACATGGTGGAATTATGGAAGCTACACTTCGAGATTTGGGTAGGAACACAGCCAAACCATGTCAGTGACTAATTTGGCTTCCCCTACACCCATTGACTCTGTCATGGCCTTAACCTCTGGGACCACCCGCCTCTCTGCAGGTGCTCAGAGTCTCACATAGTCAAAAGGACTTGGTCTTCTGTTGAATGTCACCAAGGAATCACAAGACAAAGGCTAGGCAGAGAGGGTTAGGCCATGTAAAGATAGTACCAACTGACTGAACTGTACCAATGAGTCAGTAACTTTTTTGTTCAGGTAGACAGTTGATGATTGGGGGGGTTGTTGTTTTACCTGGATGAAAGAGGGGTGTTTTCGACACCTCTTTGTATGGGTGTCATCATTTCTTTAGCAACATGACCAAACACTGGCATTTTTCTTGTGTCCTATTCACCTGGTTGACAGGACTATAAACAGTTATCCCTTGTTACATGTTCATTTTCCACTGGATTAAATTTGGAAATGAAAAAAGAAGAAAATCTGGCCTCCTTTTGACTAAGTAGTAAAAATAGAGACTGAGCCATAAAGTCAGTATTTCATGGGGAGTTAAGGGAGAAGCTACAGGGGATTCCAGAGTCATTCCAGGAACACAGAGGAAAAGCAGGTGAAAAGAAGGGCTCAGTGTACTGTCACTGCATCAACTAGTGGTACATATCACTCTTCAAGCATCAGGGCCAATACTCAGGTATCTCAAATGGAGACGAGGGTGGACTTATGGAGAAAGAGAGGAGAAATCTTTTGTTAATATTTAAGGCTTTCCAGAGGGATGCTTTAGGCATTGGGGAATTTCCTTACTGAGGAGTTTCTGACTCCTCATGTCATGGAGATATTGTATGTTTATAAGATACGATTAATCCCCCTCTATGTCAGCCTTTCCCCATGGCTTAACGTGAGCCTTCCTCCCTGCGTGTTCTGAATGGGAATAATGCCTCTGTTGGCTAATTTGCAATAGGCCCTGTGAGCAGGCAGTTCTCTCCCACACAGTAGTTGAACCAGTCTTTGTGGGTACGTAATGGAGGCGTCTGGAGTTTGTACGATTACAGCTTAGAAGATGCCATGGATCATACCTCTCAGGGAGTTTCTCCCCCAAGGGAGAGGGGAGAATCATGCATTTGATCCCGTGTTCCAGAAACATCCAAACTGAGCCATCAGTTCTAGCAGTCTAGTGCTTCACTGTATCCAGGTGAACCTGAGCAGGTTTGCTACCTTTGTCACCCAGAAAGTTCCCCTGTCCTCCAGTTGTCTTCTTACCTGCCACAATTCAGTCTCACCAATACCCTAAATTGCTACTCTGAATGCTCCTCCCCATGCTCTGACCTGTCTACTGACTCGACAGCCCCTTTATTTGTTTACCTCATGTGCTGTGCTCCTGTAAGAACAAGCTGCTGGCAGTTCCCCACACGCTCTAGGGATCTACGTTTCCATGACTTTATTTATGCAATTCTGCCTCCTCCTCTTTGCCTGTCATCATCAGGCCAGGTCTTACTCATCTTTCAGGTATGAATTTAGGCATGATCCTCTCCAGGAAGCTTTTTCCTTCCTTCCTTCCTTCCTTCCTTCCTTCCTTCCTTCCTTCCTTCCTTCCTTCCT